TATTTTCACGCAAATTCTTCTGCTAGTTGGGATTTAGTCCACTTCTATATCCTTCCCTTCAAGGCTCAGGGGTCCAAGATTATCTTCTCTGTCTGTGTTAATTGGTTTCCCTTTTCTTAGTTGGAGAGGGTCTGTGCAGTCTTTCCGCCTAGTCTGCCATCTTGGCAGAACTCCTCTTTCTTCTTTTTTGATGTGTGCATTTATTGCTAGTAACCCTAAACTGGAAAGAATCCAAATGTCCATGACCAGTTGAGTGAATAAGAACACTGTAGCATGTCTATACCATAAAGAACTTTGCAATAATAACAATAACAAGAAAATGAATGAGCTGATACATGTATTCACATGAATAACTCCTGAAATCACTGTCAAATAGAAGAAGCCAGAGACAAATAACTTTACACTGTGTGACTCTGTTTATCCGAAAACGTCAGTGATTGTGAGAGCTTGGGGATGGAGGGAGGGTATTGACTTCAAAGAGGAATTATGGAACTTTTTGAGGAAACAGTATTCTTCTATGTCATGAATGTTATGATATTTATACAAATGTACACTGTTCTCAAAAGTCATCATAAAGATATTTAAAAAGGTGAATTTTATTGGAGATAATTTTCCTAAGTAAAAATGAGAAGACAAATAAACTTAGTAGAAAAAAATTTAAAGTGTATAAAGCATTTTACTTAAAGTAATGTTATCATCAATGATTTTGCCCTGAGGTACAAAATTATTAGACAGAAAATAAAATACTTTTCATTGCCATCCTGTGTCAAAGAGGACTTAGTTTATCACTAGATAAAGTTGGGAATAAAGAAAATAATAAAATATATTTTTATATGTTAAACATTTTGAAGAGGAGAGTTCTAGGAAAAAGTTAATAAAACAGTAAATTGATTTTTCTTTCAGCCATTATGCTTCATTTGGCTTCAGAACATCTTGGCTGTCATCTGCCATAGCTGAGAAAACTATATGAACAGTTAAAAAAATATATTTCCAAATAACCAAAAAAGGTTGACAGATGATTCTTTGACTAAATTCAAAGATTTTTGGTTCTTAGATTAGTGAGCTCCCCTGATTGTTATATTTTAAATTAACAAAGAGGAAGTGCAACTAAACAACTACCACACCAGTTTTCAGTGGAGAGGAAACAGCCGAGACTGGTCTTGCAGGGCCAGCTCTGTCAGGTTTATGTTAGGGATTCTATCACTGTGTGAGGCCTAAAGGAACCTTGCCCACAATAATAGACACCGGCATCTTCACTCTTTATGCTGCTGATGGTGAGGGTGAAATCCCTGTCTGACCCACTGCCACTGAACCGGGCTGGAACCCCGGGCCGTAAGTTGGAAACCTGATAAATGAGTTGCTTAGGTGGCCCAATTTTCTGTTGGTACCAGTTCAGATAGTTTTTCCCATCAGTGTATTTAATGCTTTCATTGGTTCTGCAAGTGATGGTGATTCTCTCTCCAGGAGTTCCAGATAGATAGGATGGAGACTGGGTCATTAAAATGTCACCATAAGTGCCTAAGATAAAAAAAAAAAGAGAGAGAAAAGAAAAGAGGCAGTTGACAGAAATATCCTCTTATGCATTTCATCCTCAAAATAAAAGAATTGGTAAAAATGTGGTCCATTGCACTATAAGTTAATGTTTAGTTTAGGAATTTTTTTTTTAGGTGAACATGTTCATTCTTAAATAAAATGTTACAGTTTACAACTTAAAGCTAGTATTCCCTTCTCACACTGTTTCCTGGGTTCTCACCTGGGATGCAGAGCCCCAGAAGGCTGAGGAGCAAAAGTGATGACATCGCACTGTGCTTGACCTGCCTGCTGCTTCTCAGGCCCTTGCCTTTAGGAAATTTCCTATTTATACTGATCTGAGAGAAGCTGTGGGCTCTTCA